TATATTGATGTTTTTCACACATAACACACACACATACATCTTATAATATGTAAGTTTTATTCTCATTTTTTTTTACTAAAATAACTGTATACACTAAATCGGGTCAACGGTCACATCAATCATATTTTAACACACATTTTGTACGGATTAACAAAAAATCGCAACTAATCGATTAAATATGCTTATAGGTTAATATGCTAAATTCTAATTATAAATGATAGTCTGTAATATTATATTACAGACTAGGAATCTTAAAAATCATACCGCAAAACACCTTTAAAAAAATATAAAGAGGATGCTACCTAGCCGTAATCTGTAGTGTAAAGTAGGGTTTGCGTGAATCAATACTCGAGAGAGGCTGTGATAATACTAGATTCACCAATAAAATGAATAGAAACATGGAAATATTATATTATGTACTTTATGAGGATAACAATTAGGGTTTTGATTCGTACAAACCTATTTTGATGGAAAATATTTGTAATTTTGTCTACAGAATTGACTGTGATAGTCTGGCAAAAAAAAAATTCTCATTATTGTATTAATAATTATACAATAACTATAGTTAAAGCGCTAAATTAAGATTTTGCGAAAACTGGCCTATACTTTACTCCTTAATAAATGGATGGGTAGCGTCCTCTTAGTTTTTTTTTTATTGGCAAATATTACCGTACAACATTACTAGCAGGCTCAAGGTTGAAAGTTTATTATGTTTAAACAAGCATTTAAAATATGTTTTAATTTTAAAAAAACAACGGTGCTTTTAATTTAAAATCCGTTTTCTTGTTCAAAATAATACAATCATTGTAACAAATTTGTTAGTAGTATACATTAACATATTTCTGATAAGTTCCATGAAAAAACTAGAATTTTAACAACAGGAGCAGAAATGCCAGAGAATTGCTTCAGCCATAATGGATAAATCGAAAATAATTTGTCTATAAAAACAAGTGCATGGCATAATACGAGATCTGATAAGATCACTATTAACTAGGTTTGGATAATGGACAATAAAGATAAGCTCGTTGTCAAAGTATGTCTAGACAATTTGGTCGATATCTATTCTGGACACACTTAACAGCTCAATAGCTATTATTGTGTAATTAAATAAAAACTCCATGACTGTTTTTTGTTACATAACTTATTTTTTTTAAATCAGGTTTACATCAAACGTGTAACTCGTGAAGATGTTTTCAAAAATAAATTACCGTAAACGTTTATTTACACTGTAGTATTCGAAAATAGTGACGAGTCAATGAAAAAATAAACAACTTTTTTATTCTGGCACGATAAAAATAATTGTTTATTTTTTGTTAAAAATTTAAACCTAACGAATAATTAAGCGTAAACAACAATTCCATCCTTTTATAATGACACTGCGTTACATTTAATCTTGAGTTGATCGAATCTCGTTGACCGCTGGCAACTTAAGCGGACTTTTTGGATGAATGATGTGCGGTTTAACAGTCAGTCGAGTCTAATCGATCATGCTCGGTCTGTATTTATTCGGAGTAATGTTTTCTAAGTGGTATCTTCGACCCACGAAGATTGTTACACGGGCTTTTTTTTCGTCAGAATAGGAAATAGTAAATCCGACGAATTTTAATTGTTGTCGACACGCTTATTTTGTTAGAAAAAAGAAAAATAACCGACCACTTTTAGGAATCTAGCCGTACATAAATATTAAAAAAAAAAATAACCATAGTAAGTATTAAAACGCGATAATTGCAAAATTGCTAATGACGATGCAAAAGCAAAGTAAATACCTACTTATTAGTGCGCGCAGTCGGTTTTCTTCAACTCACCGAGTTGAAGATTTCGCTACAATGATGATGTTAATACCTGTTATTAAAAATGTTGAACATTTGAAATCCGAGAACAATCTATCTCGGAATGACCGAGACGATTGCATTATAAAAATAAACATATTATATTTAGACATTTTAGAATTTTTGGAACCTCTGTGATCTTATCAGAATATGTTGGCGGCGGACTCAAAATACACAACGTCAAAATAATATTATTTCAATGCACTAGCGGGCAAACGGCGTTTTGTAAAAAGTACTTCTTAGTTCTTCCTTCACAATAAAAACAAATTTATTCATTATTGTATCTAAATTTTAAAACATTTTGCCCTTAGTTCATCTAGTATAATATGTGTATTTTGTAAACATTTCTATATCGATAGTAAATAACAATTTTTCAAAAATGTCTGTATTCATAATGACGCATTAGCGCGAACCGACTAGTCGCGGTTAATATAATATATTCACATACCTTGTATTAAAATATTATTGTTTCAAAGTGATTTTTTTTTTTTTAATAAAACGTTTTTATGAGTTATTCAGAATGGCAACATTGCTGATATCAAATGTCGAGTATATAAAAACGAGGGAATTGAAGCGTGCAAAATATTATGTACAATAATGGCTACTCACACTAGTGGCAACGACTTCTTTGTTTTTAGATGGTCGAGTATATTATTTTTTATTTTTTATTTTGAAACATTAATCTTGCAATAAAAGCGGTTTACAGTTTAGACGTGTCGCGGACGTTCTTTTAAATGGTCGGTTCATTAAAAATTAAATTGCGCTGGTAAACGTTAGAGATAAATTGTATTAGAGATAGGTTTAACGTTTTCTAAATAATGTCAACGTTAAACTCGGTTAAATGAATCTTGCGCCTCGGAGCATAATAAATTAACTTGTACGAACGTAAGACTTTTTATTAAGATATACAGCGAGACTAAGCATAACAATAGCACAGTTAACGTTTATATGAACAGATTCTAGAACAACACAACGTTATACTGAATTAGTTTTTACATAAAGGGTCTCAAAACTAGCATATTTTATTAAAGCGCATAATTGTATGTGTAATTTTACAATAAAACATAAAATTAAGCTACAATTTGCAAACCTATTTATTAACATAAATACCAGGCGTATATTTTGATATTTTATTTATTTTTCAAACTTTTATAGCGCATAGAGTACGTTACTCCAGTTATTATAGTTTTTAAAAAAATATTTCCGCCTTTCATACCATTTGCGATAACATAAATTTGAAATTATTTTTAATTAAACAATTGCAATTTTGAAAGTTTTTAGTCGACCATTTTTTTTACAATTGAATTAAAACCGAAAACTAAACATAATACTCTGACCTATGCATTAATATCAGTGTCCAAAATTATCGTCAGTTTGCGCGTTTCAGAGTACGGTTACATTTAGAATGAGTTATTTTCGACCAAACATATGCAGGAGTAACGGTCCTTTAAATTAAAAATGATTTGCTTACAAAGTATTATTGCATTGTGTTATAGAATAATTAGAAATAAACCGGTTAACACTTGGGAATAATATATTTTTCTTTTTCATAAAAAACGCCAATATTAAATTTAAATATTCATACGCGTTTCTATTGGTTGATAAAACATAGACACTGATTTTTATCTGTATTATGTTATTGCGAGAATATTTCATTCTGAACTCCCAGACTGTAATGTTTAAGAGGGTGGCGATAAAAAATATGATCATGTACATATATGTATACATTATAAACAGACAGCATGTTGAGCGGAAAAACACTATTATTATGAATACACAAACAATATATTATATTTATTCATTTCGGCTCTCGGTGTGGTCCTTTCGGTACCTCCTCTGCCGCCATCACAATAAAAAAATTACCTTATATTAATAATAATAAGTACTCTCGATAACTTTTTTGAGGTTTTTTTTAAAATTAGACAGTTAGGCGTAGTAGGTGTCGGCACATTCAATTGGAAAACGGTCGAGATAGGCCGACTAATGCTTTCGGATCGATAAATTACAAGGTAAAGATTGACGGTTGTGCGTCTCATTGGTATTCAGATGTCGTCGTCGTTGTCGAGACGACGTTAATACTTAGTACACGGATTTGTACACAGGCAGTACATATACGAGTGAGCAATGAATGATGTGTGTGTGTGTAGGGCAGCAAACAAACAATAGACCAGCAATTGTATTACACGCATGTGGTAATAAAAGCGATTAATGCGGTCGTTGATTTTGTTTGTTCGCCGGGTTCTATTACTATTGTTTTTTTTTTTGGTCGTATAACCTTTTTTTAGAACACAAATTGTTACCCGAATAGTGCTAGCCCGGTCGTAAAACAATCCTGGAGTTTTGTCAAAAAAACAATATTTTTTATGAAACGATTCCGCATGACCCCGCCTGTCAGCTGAACGCCCCCCCAAAAGAATTGATCCGATTTACTTTTTATACAGCCAACCCCTACTGTAGTGGACCTTACTACCAAGACGCCTTTAATCACGCTGACGTGTTTCCGTATTCTTCTAGGAAACTAGCTTAACAGCTAACGAAGCATAAATAAGCGCCGAGTGTCGCATGAAAGAAAAACTGCTCGGAATAGACCTAATCGTAATGCTATTCGACGAATAGGACAAACACATAAAAATTAACTGAATGAAAACAAATAACGGGAATCGTTTATGTGATTAGTATGGGCGATTGATAGAACGTATGCGAATCAAGCAGAAACTATACACACACACAAAATACCATTGCCGGGATAAACGCTCACCCCCTTAAAGATAATATTACTAATGGGCAACCCCTAAAGCTTTACGGACAATCATTTAACGATGTACGTTCAATTGCCTTTTATTAGCATTAATCCTGTCGGACGGCGTTGGTTTTATTATTGTGAATTTGGCGTTACGACAAACGATTTATAGCCAAGGGGTTTTATTTTTTGCCGAATTAATAGCTTTCGCGGGCAAGTCAAAACGGATATAAAGTTTGTTTTACGGTCCCGGAATTGTTACTGGTAAACGATTTACAGCTGGACAATAAAAACCTTCTTAACTCGGCGTGCTGCCTTGTCTTCCGCCGTAACGGTTACTTCTACTCTACCTATTATGTTATGTACCTCAGGTCGGTTGCTGTAATTATGTACATAAGAGTAGTCTTTTTAAATTGAAATATAATCCATACCTGCGATAAATTAATGAGTTTAAAGTCACGCCCATCCGGATACTCATCGCCGTCGTCCTGGAATCTTTTCTCGTTGGGTCGGATCAGGTTGCCGTCGGCATCTTCGTCTTCGGTGGTTCCACCACCGACCACAGGTCCTTGGGTCCTCGCCAGACCGTCAATGTACGATTCGAGAAACGCGTCGCCTCTGTAAACAAAAATATTTCGTCTATTGTTAATTTTAAAAGAATAAAATATCGGTACACAATTGTCGAATGAAACAATAAAAAATAACAAAACCATTCATTGGTGTCTTTAATTCAATTATTAATTCTATTGAAAATATTAAAATGAAACCATTTTATTAACAGTTTTGATGCGAAGATGAAAATGTGTACTGATATTACTGTAATTTTTGTATTTAGTCATAACATTGAATCCTACAGAACATTTATACGTTCGACAATGTTAAAACAATTATTATTATTATTATTTTCGGTTGTGTTTTTGTTGAATAAACTTTATTCTCGATGATAAAAATATTATATGTTATGAGTTATGACGAGTTCATAATTAAGTTTACCAAGTTTACCCGATTTCCGAGGGGATTAATAACATTATACCAACCCCAGACCTTAATATAAAAATTATATTATCTACCACAGACTATATACTACTATCGCGCGAAGGGAGGCATCCCAAAATATTATTATACATATAATTGCCCCAATAGCCATTTAGATTTTATCGCTGTGCGCAGTGTAGGCGTCAACGTTTCAGATGTCTGACTTTTATTGAGGTCTCTTTCTGTTTATAGGAGAAAAAGAAAGCCAAACTTGCCGGGATCACAGCTCTACGCCAAAATGATAATAATTAATGTAATAGGTAACGCGTAAAACTTAATTAGCTTTTGTTTAAAATCGAAAAACTTAAGCGAACTAGATACGAGCAACAATTGGAAACAAAAGACAATTAGTGTACGTACAGTGAAAGATGTTTGGTTCTTTGACAATAATAGTTAGTAATGTTGGCAGACGCTTGCAATTTAAATAAGTGCAGATTAAACGGTCATTGCTCGACGTTCTTTTGAAATGGATATTATACAACAAGTCCTATTACTGAGTGTTGAGATGTTAACAACGCTACAGAATTTGCAGTGGTCAAAAAAAATTATTTTTTTTTTATAAAATAATTAGACTTTTCAATGATCGCTTTTGCAATACAACGTTGATAAAACGGGGTTTTTGTAGAGTTCAATACTGCGACTGTCATCTGGGACATAGTAAATGTGTAAACAGTATACACATTACACATAAATACTAAACAACCCTTTCGGCTGATGGTTCAATTTGTACGTGTGTGTTTGTCTGCGAGTGACAGCGAGACGGTAACCCTAAAAGAAACAAAGCTTTGTTTATGTAGCGCCCCTGCAAGTGTGTTTTGCGGGCGGCATTTTGTATTATTAGCGCTATACTTAAAGACAAAGAGTCGGTACAAAAGCAAACAATTTTTCTATTAAAGGGGAGAACGGGCACTTACCAGAAAGAAAGCAAAGCTCGACGAGAACAATGGTCACATTCTATATCCAACAACGGGGTTTGAAAGGTGTGAAAAATAGTATTAGGCTTAAGTTGCCCCGCTATGGCGACATACTGAACAAAGTATGTTTTGAATAATTAAGTCACCCGAGCGCGGCAGCAATAGCTCGCTGGCTGTTGTTAATACTTTGGAGATAAACGATGACTGGCATTATGTAAAGGCTTAAAGGCCATCTGAAAAGCGTCTTATCGGCCGGCATGCACGTTCAGATGCCAGATACAGGGATGGCGCATTTGGGCACCACAATGCCCTTGGAGATTGGACCCTCGCGGATAGTTGCTGGCAAACCATGGCGAAGTGATCGGATTAAAGCTGTTCGTTCTTTAGCCGACTTAACGTGCAATATGTATAAGTTTGTGATGCGAAGTTTCGCCATTTAAGATAATAATAATATGTCAAATAATAACAGCCACTGGCCAACATACTAGTGACTATTTCATAATATTCTAGGTTTACACGACAAAAACCTATTCGAGTACGCAACAAAGTTTTTAGTTATTTTTTAGTCGAAAAACCGCTGAGTTGAAATACATTGCGTTACTGTAACACACAAAGGCATAATAATATCATAGTTAATAGGACAATGACGTTGCGTTAAAGGAACAGAAAAGGCCCGAGGAGTAATAACTTCAAAATGTTTTAAAAAAAAGGACATTAAATGTTAAAGTCTAAAATTGAATAAATATTGCATAACGAATAACTCTACACGAATGTTTAGAGTAGTATGTCATTGACTAAATCAAAATAGAGTTTCCCAACTCTGTATTATTATTTATTAATAAAAAAGACACAAAACACTTTTATTGTTTTAGATAATTAAAAAAACTGTTTTTATTACTGTTATTTAGACATAAAATACATATTTCCATTTATGGTTATAGATAAAAAAATATTCGAATGATGCTCAACTGTGAATGCAAGTATGTTTACAATATAGCTGTTTATTTTTGTAACGTCAAAGTTTCAGATAAATGTATTAAAAAGGATGTGTAATAATATTGAATACAATATTAAAGTCGTCCGTAACACGTTTAGGGTTTATGCAAATTAGAAAATTCCCAATTAACAGAGATGTTGTATTCATAGTAAACGCTCGAGTGTAATAATATGTAAATATATTAACAATATTAATTTTAGCAAGGCGAAGCTTGTATATTAAATTGGCGCGGCACGGTGGCGGCGAGTCGTAGTGAGATATATCAATTAATTTTATCCCGGAAGGCAAATAATAATTAGTTTTGCTCATTTCCCGTCCACACATTTACCCTAAAATAATTAGAATGGCATCATTCAGTATACGTGAGAAATTTTCATAGGGGTACAAAATTTGCGGTCAACTGGTCAATTAACAGTAAAATATATACAATGAAAAGTATTCATTGAACTGAAATTCGATACAAACAATGCAAATTACTAGGTACTCTAATGAAGTATAGTTTATTTAAATTGATGAACTATTATTAAATTCTATAATATTTATTTAATTAAAATATAGTAAATATGTTACCAATTCATTTAAACTGCTATGATCAAAAATATACTTACAAAATAATAATATAACTATAAGATGTACTGAACGTAATAATATATGTAAAATTAAAAATTAGTTATTATGTATTATTACTTTGATTCCAATAAATAAATAAAGAAAAGAAAAGAAAACAAGTTTTCACAATTTTTTTTTTAAATCCTTATTAGTTTAATACTTTTCTGTCTTTGTACTGAACGTCGAAATTACAACCATGACTTATAATAAAATACACAAAATCAAGACTGAATTTAAAATTCCCAAGTGGTTTGTATAATAAATAAGAGGCTACTATTCCCTTCGTTTTTGGTTTTTACAAGTTTATGCGAAGAAAAACAAACAGTACATCGGTAGCAACTATAGTTGGATGAATCCCCGGGAGGCAAGTTTCCATGTCAAAATCTATAAAATTGGGTCGTCCAGTTTACCCTGGATATAAAACAAGGTATAAATCGACAAAAATATAATACAAGCGCCTTTGGTACGCAACGTATCGTACCGAAAGGAAATGGAATTATAGACGCTATTGGCTAGTATATTATTACGAATCATATAGGTAATAAAGGATTATATTATTCGGGTAAAGGGCAGTTAGGGTTGATCCATTGTCGGTAGTTCCCTCATAGTTTTAATACCCGGTGGCCGAATGTCACAGACAGACCAACTGTCGCCATGGTAACAGTCTGCTGCCGCCAATCCCTACCCCAATGTGTTAGTTTATACATACAATAAGCGTGTGGATAAAAAAAAAACTGTTCTTCTCGTCGCAATCACCCTTTAAAGCAGACCGGAATGAGTCATTTCAGTTACACACAACACGTCCGTCCGACCTCACTAGCCAATTTGAATATGATAAGTTTCGACACTCGTCAAGTTCGAATAAAAAACGTCCAAATGAATACAACTCATAAATAAAATAATTTGATTCGTTATGATTACTTTATTTTTTTGCTCCCTTTTCTTTCTCGGGTAATGCATTACCTACGAAGGTTCAAACTTCAAACGGTTATTAATTTATATGGTAATGTTTAACCGACATTGTACTTGGATAGACATTACATATTCCACTGGCATATATAGATCACATATGATCGAACGACGATACGTGGGACAAATATAACATTATTCGATGTTATGTCGTGTGTTCGTTTGGCGTAATGATCGTTGTCGACATTTTGTAATATAAACTAAGTATAACAGGTTGCTTCTATAATGCTACATTTCTGATGAGTGTATTACTCTATATACTAGGCTGAATAAACACACAGTTTTGCACAGACCAGCGAACAACGACATTTCGGCACCCTTGGTAAACTGACAACCCTCATAGTTGACCCACCCGATAAAAGACCAGAGACCTTTTCGGCATACACTGTTTTGTTTTCTTCAGGACAACTGTACGGCCTACAGCGGGGCAACTGGGCCAAGCACGAGTCTATCAAATGCATTATGCATGTGCACAGGTCGCCTTTACCGCGGTGGTCTAATCAACTCAAAAGATTCATGAAATATTCACGGGTACACGACCACCAAGTAATGCGGGGTCGAAAGGGAACAAGAACAGGGAGGAAACACATCTAAGACGTACAGGTCTTAAATATCGGGTAAAATGTCAAGAGTAACCCTCAGCCAAGCGACCGAATGTCTCAATGGCGTAAGCAAAATGGAGTTATCAAAGATTTTCACTTTCAGGTGAACTATATAGTCCGTCTTTTAACGGGAGGAAAAAATGGAATACTTTTTTTTCGGTACACACGTATTTTATTACTTATATACAGTTAGCTATCTAACAATGCCAGCTCGATAAACATGCGGTTAACATTGCACAACCAAACGATTTGCACTGACCCACAAACAAAATATATCATAATACTTAAGTGATAAATAAATATAAATATATATATGTTGTAATAATGTGGCATGAAATAATAATTTATCAGGCGAAAGGACTTTTCAAATAATAATGTAAATAGTTATCAATGATTAAAATTTATAATAACAAGTATTAAAGTTAAAACTATGCTAAAGCTAACATTTAATGTTTGACATAGATGATAACAATGCATTTTAGCAGATATCTATTTAAACAATGATTTGCACGAACGGAAAACACAAAACTTAAACTCCGAGGGGTTTATATATGTGTATGATTTATAAGTCATGGTTTCTTTATTATTATTATTTCTTTGACGTCGCCTCTTCAAATTCAACAAGATGTAATTAATAATTATTAAACAAATGAGCTGACGACTAAATATAAAAAATCAATGAACGTCCTTGGTACTTAATGATCGTATAATTAATCAACTGTTTTATTATTATCATACGACACAACAATTATTTACTTGTACTAACTAAAATGAAAGTATGAGTCCTAATTAAATCAAATATACTCGAGAAATTTATTGTAAAACACTTACATGTATATTGTAACTACGACATACATCGAGTGCATATTTATTGAAATTGAAGGAGAGATTTCTTTGTTGGAAAAAAATGATCAAATCAAGCTAACCGTACAAGAATGACAAACGAAAAAAAAATGTAAAACACCAGAATAGATAATGACTTTCACGCAAAACCATTTGAAATCCGCCCAACATCGTGTACTAACAAGTTGTGTACACACAAATTTTACTTTAAAAGCAATCCGCAGCAGTGTTTAATGGACAGGCGTCGGGGAACGCTCTTTGGTTGAATTTAATTGACTGTAAAGTTGGGCGGGACGATTCATTTGGCACAGGCAAAACGCGGGAAAACAATTTCAATCGTTCCCGGACTATATTATAGTTCAGTGCGCATTTAACGATCACAGATTTGGTCCAATTGCACCCTATAACCTCTCTCGGTGTTAATTGAAATCTCGTGGACTTTATGTTCATTGCGACAAATCGATAGTACAATTAGTTTGGATAATGTTTTGTGCATAAGACGTCTGGAGAAAGGGTATGCGAGTGGAAGAGAGCGAGAAGAGAATATAAGAAACACAGTTTTTTTTAAGGAGAAATAGGGAAAATGTCTTTTATGTGAGCGCAGACAGAGAGCCCTGTGTAATCGGATTAATCGACCGGAGCGGACGGAAACTTTTGGACGGCGAACAATGAAGTGAGTAATATCGACTACAAAGAGAAATATGCGTTTGACGATGAGAACGATGGCGGGCTGTCGATTTAAGCTTAAATGCAATTATTCAAAAGTTCAGACGAGAAACTGTGACTGAGAAGCAAAAAGGTTGTCTGCTATTATTCAGGATGTTAATAAAAATAAAATTCAGGAAAAATCAACGGTGAACGTCTTTAATAGGCGTCCGTGTTATCGATTATCTGCAGACACTATTATTAATATTATTATGCAAATGGGCGTATGGAAATAACTCATTATATTCAGCCGTCGTCAATAAAACGATGTAATAATAGAAAAAAAAAAGTAAGTAGTCAAAGTCATGGTACCAACTACGCGAGTACTTCTACACTATGTAATGTAGATTATAGTGTATGTGGATTGTGAACGTGAAGGTCGCAAGTGGGCGATCTAAGTAAAAAACTTAAGCTGCTAGCTGAGACCATTAATAAAAATCGTTATAATATTATTATTATCAAACTGTCGGTCTTCAAGACGGCGCTCAAGGTTAAAAATACCATTTAAAGATTTCAATTTAGCCGAAAATGAAACTTTGCACAAACAACAAAACGAAATGAATATAATCCGACAGTCGCTTAAGTTGCGTTTAATGTTTGAAAGGAAATATTGCGTCGAAAAAGTTTCCGTTCAGACGATTGCGCTCACATTAAAGGCTACAAGTAAAAGGCGTATAATATGAACAACTTGTTCCAATAAAGTTGAGTACAGTGTACCAGTCAAAGGGATTAATAGGGATAATACTAACAAATTTCGCAATTGCATTAAAAACAAACTTATATATTTATCAAGCTTTTCGGATCGAGTTAAGCTCGACGATTCGGCATTTCCGTTCGGGTCTATATGTATATTACTACATATGAAAAACGACGCTAAATAACCTATGCACAACGTTATACTTATAAAAATTGAACTAGTCGATGGGGGATTTTCGTCTCCCAACACAAGTTTTCTGTAGAATAAGTAAACACATATTACACGATACGCGGATTATTATATTATAGCGTTGTCTTTGTTTGCATCCGAACTTGCACCGAACCCATAAAAGGTACACTGTAAATTCAATTTAAAAAAAAAAAAAAAAGCCAAACATTTGTAAAACAATATTGTACACCGTTGGATCGATATCAACGCAAACTCTAATATTTACATACTGTCGTTTTGAGGCCGCGGTTTTATTAAACGTACTTTAATATTATTCATATTGAATTCATATCCGTACAAAAAAAAAAAAAAACTATACAAACAACGCCAACACGGCCGCGACTAGCTCACCTATAGAAAAGTTTTTTCTTTCCAATTTCAGCGTACCGACGACTGCAGTTCAACGGTCTGAGCGAAGACGGCGACGTGGACCGTCGGTTAAGTTTGACAAAACTCAGACTATGGTTAAGAGATGTCAACAAGCTGCGATCGGACGTTGGCGACAGAAACGTGGTAGCGCCGTTGCACAGGTGTTCGATGCTCGGCGAAGGCATTTCTTCGGCGGTCGTTGTCTACGGAGAGAGCTAAAAAACATATACACACGTGTGTCGGCGGTTCGTCAAGCGATACACAAAAAAAAAAAAAAAAATTGTCAGCCGAAAATTATCGGGAGAACAAAAGGGAATGTGTAAAAAAAAAACCAAAAACGACGACGACGACAACATTGACCGGGCCATAGAACAAATCGATTGTGTTACGTTTATATATTTTTTTTTCGCTACCGGATCCGGTGAACCGTGGATCCTGTGATAAAAATAATAATAATAAAAAAAAAAAGGATACGGACAAATAATTCGGAACGACGTGACGTTAGCTGTTACGCCGGCGACGACTGTAAAAACCAACGCCGCCGTTCATTAGGGTCAAGGAATCGCCTCCGGTTCGGGTGGGTATTATTTTATTACGCAAAAAAATACACACACACACACACACGTTGTGTGGGTTAACAGCTTGAGATTTTAATGATTGTAAACATTTCGGTAGGATCGACGATAAAAAAACAACTATCGAACTGAACTAGAGAAGAACATTTACCGCGGCCGAGAACAAACGTGTGCTTCACACGCGGTCAAAAAAAAAAATACACTCAAATTGACAGGAAACAGGGTTGGCAAAAAAAATAAATTATAATTCAAAAAACATTGTGTCAAACGTCGAACCGAACAGGAACACCCAAAGACCCAAATTGGAACTAATTTTGTTCGCGTCGCCACTGAAAAGCGGCTAGACGGTTCAACGGCCCCGGTGACGAAATTTTACCATGCCGTTTGGCTGTTAATGAGGATGGCGTTTTGAATTTTACTTGCACGAACCGTGTGTGCACTCGCGAACAAAAGACGTTCGCCGCCGTGCAGTCCAGTCAATAGGGTGGAATAGCGAGGCTTGGGAGGATTTATTTCTCTATCATAATTTCACCTATTATTTACCATGAGTATCGCTCGACAAATCCGACACGGGCCCGGGGCACTCTGCAAACACACGGCGACACGCGGCGGCGGCGGACTTACACAAGACTGGGACGCGACCGTCGATCAGCAGCGTACAAGTGCGACTGATGCGCGCATCCAACGCTGAACGGACCGCCGACTGTTGGGCAAGCAAAATCGGCAAGACCGGCACCACGGCCAACGCAACGCAACGCCACCGTGTGTGCCCGCCGCCTACTGCAAACTTCTGCAGAGTTTTATCTACTTTCGGTTTTTTTTCTTCAATAAGAGCACGCACGAGAATCCGGCAAATTCATCCTATCTACTCTAGAACGAGTAGGCAACGGACGTGGTAGTAACAGCACAGACGTTAGAACAACACGAGACATTAGTCGAATCGCGACGTGTAATATCAATTTAATGTCAATTATTTGGACAAAAAAAAATAAATGTAACGTAACGACGATGATGACGGGGTGTGGGGTGGTAATGTCGACCATAATAATAATAATTACAATCTCTGGTAAATGAATCGTTTAATTACCTTTTTATCGCCGCCGCATTAAGCGGATAATTATCCAGGCATAAACGCCAATAGGTATGTCGCGTACAAGGGCTATACACGGCATTAAACGTTATATACGTATATAAATGTTTTGTTTTTTTTCCCATTTTAATTATTTAGCATTAAACGACCAAACGATTGAAATAACTCGCCCGGAGAAAGAATGCGCCCTTAAAAGCAAAGAAAACAAACTATACCGTGACATCAACAAAATAATCATAAAAAAAAGAGTGTCAATAACACCGATTGTCTTGAAACAGTCAAAATTGTTCATGGGTTTTTACCACTGCGGATTCATAGGTAGTATTCACCACATCAGACAGATGGAAAAAAATAGACAACGAGGCGTTCATTTGTATGCACTACCGCCAATCGTGAATATTATAGCAAGATTTACACTGTCGTGCACAATTAACAGCAGTAATACAAAACGATAGTTTTATACAATTACAAATACAAGTACTATAAAGTCTTAAACGTCATAGCTCAGGAGGCCCTTCTGTGATCCTTCGAGATTTTAGTGTAGAAATTTCGCGATAAAGATTGGGGTCGATCAAAGCGCCCTCGATGCCAAAATTTATCTAATTGGCCGGTTTTTCGCAGTACTATTATTGAGGGGTCATTTTTCGATTGACTTTTATTGCTGCACCGAATGAAATACACTAGGGAACACACGTCCCACGAGGGATCTAACTAAATCGTGTAAATATAGCAAATTAGCCGAACACGGACGGAAACGAATCAACACAAATTACAAAGTAGCTTCGGCAACGAACTTGATTTGGACTAGATCGGTACTGACTTCTAACAATTTAATAAAGGACTACACACACAACTGTACCATTGAATATGGGATTTAACCTTTATGAAAAATCGAATTTTATCGAAAAAACATACAAACTGGTGCACGAAGACTGTTTACTAAAGTTGAGTAAACAAATCCACAGTACAAAATATAATGAGTTCAACGACTTTTAACAATGGACTAAAAATCACCGAGTACACGCGTTACTCGCAGAATAAAACTTTTTAATTTTTCATGTAATTCATAAAAAAAAAAAGTTTTAAACTTTGCAAATTGAATCAGTTGGGAATACATTTTGAATCATGTTAAAAAAAAACAGTTTTGTGTTATTTAAAGTTTTCCGTCTACGGTTATAAGGTTTGAAGACGTCGAAGAGAGCCGGTACACGTAAAAATGAAATACAAATTAAGTAAATTTTATTTAAAGCTACAAAATAAAAATACATAGGAACGTTCTTAAACGTACACTAACATCGACGTGCATACATAAAAAAAAACATCATATTCATCGATGCAGACACTATATAACGTGCTAGTCGGGGTTCCAAGATTGTTGTATATGAAAGTACTAAAACGATCCAGTTTAATTAGCCACAATTAGACCCACATATAGGGGAACACCGTTCAATTTGGCGGTTAAAACTTGTCAGGCGTGTCACGTAGTTAAGGTTTCGATAGGCCGCGCTTGGTAGACAAAACGAATTGAATAATAAATGAAAAAAGATAAAGAATCTCGTACTGAGAGGGAAGTAAGACAGTGTTATATTATTATGTATTATTGACACACCGGATCAACATTATTAAGTAGACTACTTACCCCAACTACATTTTCAGAAGTAAAAATAATGCTGGGTACGCTATTTTTTTTTTTTTTATAGTAAAAACGTCCAATTCGAGCACTGGCCGTATCTGTTTTCCGAAAATAAAGGAACCTACTGTGTTAGTTGATATGCCCAAATAGGCTGATTTGTCTTGTCATGCTAATTTAAAAGGCGGTACCATTAAAAAAAAAAAAGAGTTAAACGGTGTTCAAGTAAAAAAAAACAAACAAAAAGGAATTGTAAATTGATTCACTCGAAATCGACTACTTTGAAAGGTATTAAACGACTGATTTCGGCGGAGGGTCTTTCACACTTTTTCACAAACATTAGTGGGGTGTGCTGCCAACAAGTCTTTATCTCGTCTAAACAATCTAAATCGACTGCGGTCACGCAGATAGCCGCTATTTCTCCTCCCGACATGGGGGAACAATCGAATATAAGTCCATTAATGTTATGGCCAAGCGGACTCCATCAGATAAAAAACGCGTGTCATTCCCCTAAAGCTTCTAACGTCTAGGGAAAAGTCTTGCGGTACAATTCATATTTTAACAAGTACATGTATATTCGGAATTTGCGCATTACAAAGTCTGAATTTGTTATAGCTTTACTACAATTTGTCCAAAAAAAAAAATGATCCCTAGTACATGCTCGTTTTGATAAGTAGTCCAGACCATACTATTAACAACGTTTGCTGTATTCAACGACGCTGACGTTTAATGAAAACTGCATAATTCATTAAGGCTAAGTGACAGAATGCCGGTGGCAATGCTAGTAAACAACTACAACAAGAAAAAACACACATTTTACTTATAGATGTTTATATTTTTATAACTCTTCATTACCCTTGAAGTTTGTCGCGCCAAAAACTACAATGGCGCCGTTTAAAAGCTTTAAGATAAAAGCTTTTATGTACTTAAGTGGAAAATATTTTTCTAGTGACGGTTATTGAAAAAAAAATCAACAGCTGCGTGCAGCACTGTGTTTTCTCTAGGTACCTAGTCAGGTTTTACACGAAATTGGCAGTAGACATCTGTAAAGAAGATAAAGCCTTTATTTGCCCTTTCATTTTTTTTCCACTGTCGTATTCAGAGTAACCTTTCAACAAACATTGTCACGGTGTCCAGCAGGGAGCGAATAAATTAGCGGGGAGCTTTTATTACTAACGGCTTATAACGGTTTTTTGTTACAAATAACATTGAATCCATTTGTCCGCAAGAGCTCATAAATGGCCAAGGATTAAAACCATAATTTACTCAAGCTTAAATTATGTGCACATTGTATTCGTTTTGTCGAAACACAAAACTAATTAACAGCGAACGTTCGGTAGTCCACATTAATTAGAGAGCTCTGTGGATTTGTTTAATGATCCAATATATTATGTTTAGTACGTATAAGCTAAACGAAATGTTCACCTTGCACATTACAAGTTACATAATATATATATATGAAACACAAGCCATTTTCGTTGGTAATACAAAAATTTACATTTTAATTACAATTCATCTTAACAACATACATACATGAATACTATTAATTAAATATTTCTAGCCAACCCAAAGAATTCTTGTGACTATTATTATACAAATGAATATTTTAACGAAGGCCCAATAAGTGTTTTTGTCGTTCAATAAAAAAATGGCGTAACTTCTTGGATCGTGTACTCGTAAAATGTGTTATGTTTTGGGAATTGTGTACGAAAGGAGAATATTTTATCACTTGAGACAACCACGTGCGCAATATGATGTTACATATAACAAAGTTTTACAACATATCAGTGCGGAGCGAATAAACAAGACGCATCGCATGTAGGAAAAGTTGGTAAAAACAGACCGAAAGAGTGTAGGCGGATGAACAGGAGAAGAGGCTGGAAATAATCGACATGGAAAGACCATAAAAACATAGTTTTT